AAAAATCCGCCACTCGTATCTTACAAAAGAGGGCGATCACTCAAAGACATACTCGTGAGAGCCAAACTTTGAATAGGCTATTCTAAACACGCGCTGGGGAGTCGTGTAGGCGGCCCGTCAACCCCCTTTTTACATTGAACTGTTAGATCCTTAAGTTTCACGCGATCGACTTTACTTTCGTTTAGTATCTTCGCCTGAAGCCATTTTCCCATTTCACTTGAATCAAGTACATAATGTTTTCCCGACTTGAGGCAGTCACGAACACGTGGGATGAGGTCTGCTCGTTTTCCGCTTAATTTCAAGCCTCTACACTTTAACCAACGCTTCGATTTGTGTTTGTATTGTTCTCTGGGTCTTGCTCGAACTTTGAGCCAGGAACACCGTCGTTTTTATTTAAAATACGAGCTTTAGAGACGTTTGAACTACAGATGGGCGCATCATCGCCCATATTCCTTTACTCGAGAAGCTTGATTGTTTGTCCTAATCGCTCTGGGGGGTCAAATTTTTGTGACGTCACAAACGCGCAGCGCCATTAATGCAGAAGATACTCGATCAGTACAAAGAAAAGTAATCTCGCGGTGGATTCCTCCATGATTTCCGCTTTCAGAATTTAAAGTTGACCTTCGTGCCAAACAGCTTCAGTATTCCGTTTGCAGCATCATGAGGGCGACAAAATACCACAAATGAGTCGATTAATTAATATTTCATTTAATTTTATCGAGATATTCAGACCGAGACGTAATTTAAGTGCTCTATTTTCAGAGCTTTAATCATAATCCTGTTAGATTTTGTTCGTCTCAAGTCAACAGTTATTAACCACGAACACAGAGTGTGGTCTACCTATGCTCAAATCAACATTTTTAATGAAAATATCGAGTATCCCTTCCAAAAACAAAAAGAAAAAATAGAAGTTAACCACATTTAGGTAAACAGGCACACCTTTTAAGTGCGGCATCCGTCGACCAAGAGTTGGTGGATCACTTTATTGCTGTTGACATTGATAGCTGTTGACGGCGACACACCCGTTAGAAGAATAGATTGCTGAATTTAGACTTCTTTGGTCGTACATAAAAATTTGGTCTCGAAATAGGGTCAACTTATAGAACGGAAAACATTTTATCCCGTTTTCGTTCTTCAGAGATACGGGATACGCTTGCTGAGGACGTCATGTAGTGACTGACCAAGAAACGTTGCAGTTGAAGCGAGAAATATCATGGACTAAAGCGTTATCTCAAGATGCATGGGTTATAAAGGAGTCAAGTCGTCCTTTTAAATCAGCTTAAATCCCGTTCTCATATACCACATTCATAATCAAACTGTGACTTTTACTTTTGATTGAATGCCACTCTCTATGACCTTAGCGATAGTCCCTTCTTTAACATCGAATATCAACACAACAAAATCAGATGCGACAAAATCCAAAAGCTAAAGAGAGCTTTTAAGGGTCGGAAGAGACCCTCCTGTTCACAATACTATAAAGTTAAGCGCCCAATTTCAATTCCCTACTCTAAACCACTGTTTCCTTTTCGTCAACGTTCCCCATCAGGTACGAATCATTCTGTTGCTCGCGACACTTGGCAAAATCTTCCATACAATTTGAGACAAAGTGGGGGTAGATTTGTGGAAGATGCTCTAATAATAATGTTTTTCTTTGCATGACGCAACAACTACTGAACACAGATGCAATAAGTAGGAAGAACTAGGTTACTTTGTAATTTATTTTTATGATATGGAACATTCTTATTTCTTATTGCAAGTCAACAAGTGAGAATCCCGGCAATTCGCTGAGCAGTAGACCGACACTCAGACCAACATCAAGTGAGTTATCATATCTTCATTGCCTGCACGGAGCTTATTGCCCGACTTAGAGATCAATAGCAATAGCAATAGACAAGAGAATTTATTTCGGTACTCTTCAGTCTCATTGCTTTAAGAAGGACAGAGCTAACTGATACTGAAATGCTTTCCTCGGCTAATGGTGGTATCACTGCAGAAGGGCTTGTTGTTGCGCTAAGGAGTGTTCGAAAAGCATGAATTGATCCATTTTCCACACCTTTATTCTATCTGGGACAAACGTGTTTATTTCTGACTTATGCAATCATCACAGTGAATTGGTGCTGTGTTCGCGCTATCAACAAAAAAGTGCGGCTATAGCCTGCATGCAGACGTCTCCTATTTCCTTTAGGAGGCATTTGTACATAGTATGAGTCTGGCCGGCCACTGACGGAGGTCTAACTAATGGAAACTTGCGGCCTCAATTATTGTCTCTAGATAGCCTACCTTAATCCTTAACGCTGCAAGCAGTACTTCAAAATTTGCGTACCAAGCGACTTAGTGTAGATATAAATTGCTAAATTATTTGTTTTGTACTAGTGCCGCCTGGGATGTTGAAGAATATCGGATATATGTGATATGTTTAGCTAAAAACAGAGAACACTTCAGGCTCCTCGATGAACTCCACGAATAGGCGTCGCACTCGAGTTCATCCTCACACTGCCGCCAACAATCTTGCGGCTTATCATGCCTGGGGGCCTTAAATGCATACCCTCGAAAGCTTGCTTTTTCTAGCGAGAGGACCTTCTTGTTGGTTGCTAGCTGTGATAAGAAAACTACAATTTGGCTTCCTTGTTGGGTTACCACTCTACTAACAACATCACCTTTGAAGAAACTACAAATGGTTGACGTAAAATTACGGAATTCAACCGCCACACAATCCACGTCATCTAGACAAGTCTCTTCGCAAGTGACTCTGTCTACGTCACGGATGTATTTGTAACCTGAAAAGCCAAAAAAATTGGTGGACAAAAAGAACGGACCAAAGCGACGACAAAAATAATGCATAGTTCTCTTGGATACGAGAAGAACACATGACCTATAGTAGAACAGCACATTGTTGCAGATGAATAAACAGAGCCACAGAAATTATACTGAATGTGTTAATAATATCAATAGAAAAAAGCTTTCAAATGTAGCGAGAAATTGTACTCGACATAATTACCGAATCTGTGATTTGTGTTGTGTAGGAAAAAGTACAACTTGAACTGAATTTAACGATGCAATAGAATAAAAGTATAGATTAAAAAGGAGTGGCATTGTGAACACAAAACAACAAAAAGGATTTGAAACCTTTCTGTGTAAATCCAATGTCAGTTCCTTCAACGTTATACCTGTTTTTACACCTAGAGACCTTTCCCTGCATTTTCAAAACTTGACAGTATTTATATGCAGCACTCGCCAATCTCTTCTTCAGTCTACCGTAGTTAACTTTGGGAGAAAGATGTCTGGTAAAATGATCAGTAAACAGATTTTCTATTCCCGTAAGAGTGTACTTAGTTGGAACAGGGTTCGATTGAACAGACGCTGCCCAAGTCATCACGTCTCCATTGCTGGGTAGGGAGGATCCAACAGTGATGGTTGTGGTTTGTATATTTTTTATAAACTTTGAGGCGGCGTTTCTTTGATTGCTGTCCATGGAAAATCCTCCTCCGATGTTAAATAAACCTGAGTAGCTCGCCTGGACTTTCACGCTGATGGATTCTTTCCTTGGGGTCGTTAGAGCCGCCTGCCTTATCTTCTGGCTTTGGATGAACTTTGCACCAAATGTAACGTCTGAGAAGAAGTGAGTTCCGTAGTATTTGACGAACTGTCGAACATCAACATCTGTAGCCCTCGGATCAGCTAGTTTTGTTGCCCACTCAATAAAACTGGTATGAAACGGTGGAGGTCTCGTGAGATCAATATGACCGCGATAGTACTGACACTGTGCACTGGAAATTACGCGCACATACTCTCCAGAAGACATTTCAGCCACATCTCTCTTATACCTTGCACTGGCAGAGAATTGAAATCCTCAGCCTCCACCTAAATGATTGAAATAAAAGACATCATGGGGCTCTACATGTACATAGTGTTAAACAACCATGGTGAACTCTTCTAACTCTTGGGTTTAGCGTCAGTACATTATTCCAATTAAGTAATGTCAGATATCATTAGTTGGGACACCTCTATAGAACACTAAGACATCGAAAGGGAAGGGAAGGCTGTAAATGTCCAAACAAATGTATCTGGGAGTAGAGCCTACAAAACATTGATCTAAAAGCGCCAGTTAGGAGGAAAGAGATAAGTCGATGACACGATTCATAATACAACTGAGGCTTTAATTCGACTGGTTAAACGAATACAGAACGAGCGGGCTCACAGACTCAAGTCGTTGCTCAAGTAGAACCGCGCGGGGCTTGAGGCCACGCATGCCTATAACTAATGTACTGCTGTCCGGTACTGGCGGTACTTTTGTTTATTTTCCGTGACACAACAAAAGAGTTTTCAGTTCTACTATAGTCATCACGTACGTCCCGCAGTGAGAGTATTTAGAGATGTAACAGTGAAAAGACGAAATACCTGAGGAAGTAACAAAATACCTGAGGTGCTACTTCCTTAGAGAATAACAAATTCGAGTTACAGAACCCCTAAAAAAGGTGCTGGGATATCGCTATCCCGATATTCATGTTTATCTCCATACTTATTGGTACCTAGTGTTTTCTCTAAGAACTGTTTTTTACCTCTCACTGTATGTTTCAAACACCTTAGCTTGTCTAGCTTCAGTGCGCTTGCTGAGATAGGTTGGTAGTTAATTACAATGAGAGACGATTCGTCTTAAAATAAGGAATTAAGATTGCAGTCTCACAATTGGAATTTAAGTTCTCGTTTACCTTCCATCTTTGCTGCAGCTCCAAGATGTTTTGACATTTCTTGCTTATTTCGGACAAGTGTGGACTCAAATGACACTAAGCACGATTGACAGGGGTACACTGTCAGACCCACTGGGACACTGTAACGACAATCCGCACTTTGTCTTCGTTCGGTATAATCAGCCTTGAATATAGGATGCGTAAACCCTGGGTCACATTCAGCATTGGGATCACCTTGCAGGATGTCGTATCCGAGAAGTGCAAAATCCAGATCAGGATAGGACTTTTTCCAGTACGTTCCATTACAGTCTTGTAAATCATTGTCCAATCTGACACCTGAAAATGTCTTGTAGAGGATTGTGAATCTCTGAGCCTGTTAATCTTGATAAATACAGTGGGACCGTTTTCAAAAAGAAATATAGACGTGCTCACAAGTCGTGCTTTTGAGCGCGTAGCGCGACAGTGAGCGCGAAGCGCGAGCGAGCCGAGCCGAGGGAGCGAAAGTTCGTTCTGATCCTACCACACCAGAACAGAAAACCAAGCGAACGATTTTGAGAAAGTCTAAGAGAAATATGGTCATTGAGTTTGCGTGAGGGAAAATGGGAACGAGGAAAGACAGAGGGAGACAGGAGAGAGGAAGGGAGGTAAGAAGGGAAACATCGTCAGCCATTATGGTAAGTACACGTTATCTTGAATACTTCAAACAGTTCCTTACCAAAATCAAATACCCCAGGGTTACTTTTTTCTCCTTGGCCCAGCGATAAATATGAAAGACCTGGCTGTCCTGATCTACAACATGAGAAATAATTAATTAATTGTCTTTCCTGATGACTTCTCTCGTGACGAAACTCTTATCATGTAATTCTTGTTAAATTCGAAATTCAAAATCTATGTTGTTCCACCGACAGCATTAACACAATACGGAAATCACTCCTTCAGCCATTTTAATTTTTACAAATTTGAAGAAGACTTATAAGGATCCTTTAAAGAGAATGGACTTCTACCTCACCTTAGGGGTGATCCTGATGTATTCAGGAGAACCAAGAGCATGAATATTGCGGCGACAGGAACCAAATATTTCTGGTCATTTCTAACATGGCTTCCCCACGTAGTAAAGTTTACTCGCCAGTGAGCTTGATTGTTATCTCCGATAAAATATTTTTAGCGACGATATTGAGAAGTTAGTTAGAAATTGTACCATGGTAAGGATTTGTATATCTCTTCGCTCGACAGGCTATCATTTTGAAAGGTGTTGTGAAAGGGTTAAGTAGCTTGGAGACTTAACACGAAAATAAAGAAGCTTTGACGACTGCACAATTGAAAAATGACAGTAATGAGGCAGTTTGAAAAAAAGGTTGTTAAGGCTGAGGAAAAGTGATATCAGCGGGATACAAAAAGAATCGAAGGGATGATGTGAATGACGAATCTTCACGAACCAAAAACCAATGTCGTCAGATCTTTTCTGTAAGATGCACACCTAGGTATTATATTTCTACTTAGCACATAAATCGTCCTGGCTAGAAAACCCCACATCTTTATTGTTGAGTGAAGTTTGCCTCTTACTTACCTTTTGCTTCATCTTTTGCTTGCCAAGGGTGATTGTTTTCTGAAGACGGAAAGAAAAGTTCAGTTTTTTGAATGATGCATGAGATGAAATTTATGAAGTTTCGTCCAATGTATAATCCGCTTTTGTCTCCTTATCATCCAAAGTAATGCGTAACTCCTTTTATTTCTTACTAATTGTGCCCAGTTTCCTAACTCGGGCTACTAAGGTTTATAATGTTCTTTAAAGTTGGCACCCATTTTTCAACATAGCCTTATCAAGTCATACCTTGTATCCGTAGTTTTCCTCACCGTGTGAAATAGAGACAAATTCTGAACAAATTACCTGCTGCTTTAGCTATTTATTGGAGAGTCGACCAAACGTGTTATGATATCTTCCAGCCGTGTTCATGACTGATGGCTTGTCAGGGAGGTCTCTAAGAGGTGCTTTTACTTGCCTAGATTCTGTGTTTTTGCTGTAATAAGTGCAACTGATGCCGCCAACACCTGAAAACTTCGATTAAGACCCATGTATGTTTACCATGGGAGTTAACAAAACAGTAACCTTTTTGGCAAGAAGAGACTAGAGAACTGTTGAAATTGTATCAAATGGTCACCTTTCGCCTCCCTCCATGGAAGGATCATCGTAATTACGGAAAAATTCGTGGAAAGAGAGGAAGATGTCGAAACAGTGTACGAGAGTTTTCCAACGAGGCTGTCAAAGCACTTCCCGTACTTTTTAGCTTATCGGATAAGGAAAGAACGTAGTCACTGTTACCAACAAGGATTTGGGAACCATATGTCAATTGAGTCAGTTGAGGCAATGTTACAAATTCCTTTTATTTTATTTTCTTGTGTAACAAATCCATACCAGACGAAATGGATCCTGACTAAAACACCACACAAGTACATACGGGTAACATACGACTAACATACGAGTAACATACGGGTACATACGAATACATACGGTTAAAAAAATACGAAAAGGTACGGGTAAAATTCATGGGAGTAAATTTTTATGCAAAGTAACGACAACTTAAAGTAAAATATAACATGAGAGAGCAAAAGATATTTGATATTTGCTCGTCACGCATTACTTCCCCGACTAAGGAAATGATTGCGTTACAAGAGCGAAGATCTTTGATATTAAACTGGTGGCCTGGGGTCATGCCAGGTAATCCGATGTGCGCAAAATTGGCCTGTCGCGCAGTGGATGGTCTTCATGCGTTCAATCTTTACTGTGCACTGAACAGATTGAAGAGGGTAATTCTGATTTACAGATGACACAGTTGAGAAAGGAACCGTGATGTAGATGTAACTAACAGTAGCATGGCCCCAGGCCACCAGTTTAATATCAAGGATCTTTGCTCTTGTAACGCAATCTTTCCTTAGTCGGGGAAGTAATGCATGACGAGTAAATATCAAATATCTTTTTCATGTTATATTTTAAAAGTTGTCGTCACTTTGCATAAAAATTTACTCGTATGAATTTTACTCGTATTTTTTCGTATTTTTTTACTCGTATGTATTCGTATGTACCCGTATGTTACTCGTATGTTAGTCGTATGTTACTCTTATGTTAGTCGTATATGTATTCGTAGGTATCCGTATGTTCCGTATGTTACCCGTATGTAACTCGTATGTAACCCGTATGTACTCGTGTGGTGCTTTAGTCATAATCAACAAAATGGGAAGTCGATGTTATCTGTGTCATCAACTAAACATGATCCATGAATTCAGGCGGTGGTAACACTCTTGCCGAATTAATGGACCTCCCAAGCACTGCTTCTGGGAAAATAGAACTTAAACTCTTACTTGAAAGTATAATAAAGAGGTTCAACAAGGAGTGCTCTTTACTAAGGTGCTAATTTTACCTCTATTCCTGCTACTCACGATAATTGTGCATGAGATATTCAGGACATGAGAAGTTGATTTTCATGGTTTAGTTTCATCCTCAGAAGGATGAAACCAGAGCAATTTGGCACATGTACAAAGTGGTCACCTTTCACCCCTTTAACCTTTTTTGTGATTGCTGAGAAATTCTTATAAAGAGAGGAAATCAACAAAGTAATTAGCGCCGTTGCTGAAATCATCACCCGCCTTTTTCCTAGACGTGATGGAGCACCTCCCATGAATTC